TAAGGAAGCCTGAAACAACTTTTGTGAGGCCCCCAGAGGCTCTCCAAGGAGGAGCCTCCGCAGAAAAGAGCTGAGGATGGCGAACATAAGGACAAAGAAGCATGGAGGAAGGATAACGAATAACATTATGGTAGCGGCGATGCTGGAAAAGGCAACAAAGAGTTATCGCTAAATTGTCGGCTTCACCCTCTTGCTATTCCGCCTACGTGCCAAACTTCAAGGACCAAGGTGCATGGCGCAAAGCGCCACTGCAGTCTTGTATACACATATATATATACACATATGTATGAGTACATGTATGCCTAGATATACATATATATATATATATATACATATATATATATGTATACATTGATGGTGTCGGGCCCCCTGTGGAGCCCAAGGTATTACTACCTCCCGGGGGTCTGGAGCATCGACCCCCAGGGCGGTGGACGTGCACACCTTCCGGCCTCGCGGCGCTCCGGGCGCGTGCGCTCGGCGGAACTTTATCCCGCCGCGCATCGCCGCGAAGGGCAAGGATCCTGGCAGTTCTGTGAAGGTCTGGGGCCCTGGGGGACACCCTGCCCTGACTCCAGATCCGCCCTACTTTGGGGAAATTCGCAAGTGGGGCTTAGAATTTCCGCCTTACTTTTCAGGCCCCGCTGATGCCAAATTCCGCCCTACTTTTCTGTTGCCGTTTCCGCCCTACTTCTGTGGATTTCCGCCTTACTTTATGTTGGGTGCAGAAATTTCCGCTCTACTTTTTCGGCCTCTTATAGGTGGATTTCCGACGCAATTTTAAGCTGGAAAAATAGCCAAAGTAGGGCGGATCTGGAGTCAGGGTGGGGGGCGGGCGGGGACCTCGACCGAGTTCTCCGCCGCGCTCCGAGGCCCGACGAGGACCGCGTCGTGCCCCGGGCCCCAGCGGCGCCGATCGCAGACCGCACCAAGACGTAAACACACACCCTGTGTAGTCGCCGACTGCGGCCTCGGAGGCCCGTCGTCGGGGGCCCCGATGTGCCAGGCCTTGCGACGTGCCGAACCCACGTGCATCAACTCGCACGAGGACCTGGCAGAATTCTGTTTGGGCGGCGACAGCGCTGGAACCGTCCTGGGGTCTGGAAGTTGCGTGGGGTGTGCGCGCTGTACGGCTCACAGGGCAGCGATGGAAGGACGAGTATTGGGGCCTCGGGCTTGAAGAGGCCTGGGGGCGGAATCGAGGGTCAGGATAATCACAGAAGGGGGGCCGAAAAGGCAGTGCGGCAGCAGCAGGGAAACGGAGGAAATGGGAAGAGGACGACAATGGGCAGGCGGGGTCGGACAATATGGAGGGTGGCGTGTTGTTTCCCAGCGGCACGCTGATAAGCAGAGCAGCCCGTGCCACGTTGTCTGGCGCCCCGAAGGATGAGCTGTTCATAATTAGTGCAGGAAGCAAACGAGACCGAGAGGAAGTCTGCGTCGTCGTGTTTGGCGACGCAGACTTCGCGACGACGGCGAGGACGACGACGACGACGACGAGAAACGACGACGACGACGACGAGTACGATTTTTCCAGAGATCCTCGCAGTCTCCTCGTCCAGGGATGGCGAGGTCTAGCCTGAATCTGCTCAAGCCCTCGAGCATGGCGACAATATCGATTTCACAGCTCCCCAGAAAGGGTGATGTTTAATCTGAGTCGGCGTAGCCCCCGACTGTATGGCCCCTCCAGCGGCCGTCGAATGCGGCGACAGTTTCACACTTCGCAGCTCCCATGGATGGCCAGGCGAGGTCCATTCTTGATCCGCGCAGCCGCCGATTATTCCGACCCCCGAGCAGTTTTTGAAAGTAGCGTCGCACAGTTCGCAGCCCCCCATGGACGGCGACCCACCACCCCAGCGGCCCTCGAAAGTGGCGACAATTTCACACTTCGCAGCCCCCCAGGGATGGCGAGGTCTAATCTGAATCCGCGTAGCCCCTGAGCATTCGATCCCCCCCCCCCAGCGTTCCTCGAAAGTGGCGACGGGTGACCCCCCAGGGGGGGCGAGGGCTAATCTGAATCCGCGTATCTTGGCCTCCCCAGCAGCCTTTGAACATGGCGACGAATTCTCATGTCGCGGCCTCCCAGGGATGGCTGAATAACGTAGAATGGCGAGGTAGCAACCAGGTAAGAGGCATGAGAGGAACGGCGACGCTAGAAGCGTGGAGACCGTAGTATTCTATTCATCAAGAAACCCAGCGCAGCAGCTTCGAAGATCGCAGCCCCCAAGGGATTGCGACGTTTGATTTGAATCCGCGTAGTTCGCCCCTGAATGCGCGCAGTCCTCGAACGTGGTGGCAGGTTCACATGTCGCAGCCCCCCAAGGATGGCGATGGCGAGCCTGAATCCGCGCATCTCCCGCCGATGCTGGCCACCCCAGTTGCCTTCGAACGTGGCGGCAATGTCGCACTTCACAGCCCCCCCCCTCCCCCCGGGATGGCGAGGTCGAATCTGAATCCGCGTATCCCCCGACATTATCCTTCGAAATCGGCGATAGCTTCACACGTCACAGCCAGCCAGGGATTGCGAGGTCACGCAGAATGGCGAGGCAGGAGGCAGGCAGGAGGTCGGAATGAAGAGGAGAGGTGGGAGGAGTGGAGACCGCAGTGCCTCACTTAACCACAGAACCCGCCGCGGCAGCGTCGCACATCGCAGCCCAACAGGGACGGCGAGGTCGAGACTGACTCCGCCTGCGCCCCGACGATGCTGCCCCCCCCCCAGCAGGACAGGAGAGGTGGAGGGACGAGAGGAGGAGGCGGGGGGGGGGCTGTCGCGACCCCAGTGCTTTATATTCGAAGCGCGAGCCCATCGCGGGAGAGCCGTCCAGCTGCCTGCTGCAAGCCCCGCCGCCGTGCCCGTGCAGCGTCGCGGCGGGAAGGCGGCGGGGCGTAGGAGGCAGCGCACTTCCGTCGGGTAGTCTGCATTGGTGCGGGGCGTGATCCCGACCTCGTCTTCGTCCGCGCGGTATGGAGGAGGAGGAGGAGGAGGAGGAGGAGGAGGGATGGTACGAGCGCAGGAGGAGGAGGAGGAGGAGGAGGAGGAGGAGGAGGAGGAGGAGGAGGAGGAGGGTGAGGGTGAGGGTGAGGGGAAGGCTTCCTGGGGCCCTCTTGAGGCTTCCTGGGGCCTCCTTGGAGCTTCCTGAAAGCTTACTTGGGGCCTCTTGGGAGCCTCTTGGGGTCTCTGGAGTCGTTTTAGGTGGCTCTTGGCTTGTCTGACGCCTATGGAGGCCACCTGGTGGGCCTCTCTAGGGAGCGTTGGTGCCCTCTTTGGGGCGGTTCACAGCCATAGTGGGGCCCTCTTGGGAACCCCTTGGGCGATCTTTGGGTTCTCTTGGGCCGACCTCGGGCGCTTCTTGGGCTGTCTTGGAGCTGTATTGGGGGCCTCTTGGAGGCCTCTTGGGCCATCTTGGGCGATCGGACACCCGAACAAGTGAGGACATCAACATCTGTCAAACGCGAAGGACAATCAGTGCGTTTGGCTTCCTCGGTCTCTCCAGGAGGGCCTCTTGGAGACCTCTTGGGCCGTCTTGGGAGCTTGTGGATCTGTCTTGGGGCTGTCTTGGGCGTCTCTTGAGCCGTACATGTCGGGCCATCTTGGGCCATCTTGGCATCATTTTGATTGTCTTGAAAGCTGGCCTGGAATCCAGGAGACTCCCAAGAAGGTCTCGAGGCAGATCGAGAGGCCCCCAAAAGACGGCCCAAAGGGTCTCCAGGAGGCCCCGCAGTAGAGCTCGAGGAGGCCCAACCCAGCTTTTTTCACAATGCTGTTTTTTATACATGCTCCGCGTGCAGACCATGTATTAGAAATGCAGGGATGTAGTATTAAAAACAACGATGAGTTCATGCATGAATTTCGTCATACATTGATCATGTATTGAACATTTTATATTTCAAAAATCCCATGTATTCAAAACTGCCCTGTATTCTGAAGGTGTTTGAAGGATTTTGAGGTTCTGGCATGGTTGGGCTGCGGACCGCCCAGGACAGCCCGGGAAGCCCCTTCGGGCCGTTTTGTTGCTCTCTTGGTCTTGCAGCCCTCTCTGGGAGCCCCCTTGGCCGATCTGTGGGTCCTCTGCGGCCGATTTCGGGTCCTCTTGGGGGCCTCCTGGGCTATTTCGGAAACATTTTTGAAACCTCTTGGGCCGTCCTGGGCGGTCGGAAACCCGAACAGACCAGAACCTCACACAACTCCAACAACAATGGGAAAATCAATGGTTTTGGCCCCCCCGGGCTCTCCAGGAAGGCCTCGTGGAGCTCTCTCGGGCCGTCCTGGGGGCCTCTTGCCGTCTTGAGGTTCTCTTGAGAGGCTCTTGAGCTGTGTTGGGCCATCTTGAGCCGTTATTATGTTGTCGCCTTGGCTGTTTCGTAAGCCGTCCTGGAGGCCATCGTGGCTTCTGGTGGCCGAAGAGATCGCCAGGAAGCAATTTCAGGGGGGCGGTTTTCGAACGGCGCGTGCCGTGCAGGGACGGGGGGGGCGGCTTAGAATTTCGAAGGGATGGGGCGAAGGACAAGGAGGAGGAGAAGGAGGAGGAATGAAAGAGGAGGAGGAGGAGGAGGAGGAGGAGGAGGAGGAGGGAGGAGGAGGTGGAGTGTGGGGAGGAGGAGAGGGGAAAGGGAGGAGGAGGAGGAGGGAGGCGGAGGAGGAGGAAGTAGGAGGACTTGCTGAAAGCAGGAGGAAGGAGGGATGCGGAAGCAGGAGAAGACGGAGGCGAAAGCGAGGTCGGAGGAGCCGGAGGAGGAGGATAGGCGGAAGGAGGAGGAGAAGGAGCAGAGAATAGGATTGAGGAGAGGAGAAGGAGGAGGGAGGGAGGAGGAGGAGGAAGCGGATAGAAAGGAGGCGGGCGAAGGATGAGGAAAGGCGGAGGTTGGGGCTGGAGCTGAGCGAAGGAGCAGGAATGAGATTGAGGAGAGGGAGGGAGGAGGAGGAGGAGCAGCATGAAAGAGGGAACGGGGAGGAGGGAGGAAGGAGGGCGAGTAGGGAGGGCCCCCCAGCGGCTCCCCCGGAGGACCCGGTGACGAACGCGTACATCCGCGCCTTCAAGAGGCTGGTGCAGTGCGCCCAGCTGCTCTTTCCGCCCGCCGACCTCAGCCAGATGCTCTGACGCGGGCGCGCCGGCCTCCTCCTCCTCCTCCTCCTCCTTCTCCTCCTCCTCAATCCTCCTCCTCCTCCTCCTACCTCCTCCTCCTCCCTCCTCCTCCTCCTCCCTCCTCCTCCTCCTCCTCCTCCTCCTCCTCCTCCTCCTCCTCCTCATCCTCCTCCTCCTCCTGGGCGCGCCGGCCTGGGCCCGAGGCGCGCTCGCCGAGGATCCGCGGTGCCGAGGCGGCGCAGAACCTAGGCCAGACAAGGGGGGGGGGAAGAGAAAAGCGAGAGAGGACCCTGACCGAAGCGGTGCCCTCCCCCGCCTGGGCCACCGCTGAAGGGACCCGAAGTCGTCCTTCAGTGGTGACCCTGGCAGGGGAGCCAACGCCTCCGTGAGGCTCCTGCGGGGGCCCCACATGACTTGAAGCCTCGGCCGAGGATGGGGGTGTCGCCTCCGCAAGGCGGCCCGCCCCTCTCTCGGTCCAAAGTGGGACGCTGCGGCCGCAACTCGCTCGAGAGGTGGGGTCCACTCCCTGCCGCAGCATCTCCAGAGACTTGCCTGTAGCGTCATTTCGGGGCCTCCCAAAACAAACTTCAGCCAACAAATTCATTCGGTGCCTGGCATAGCTGCCGCACCTGGAACACCAAATGATTGGGAGGGCAGCACCAGGATCACCTCCCCACAATCGATGCGAGCGATGAGCCTGGCGGCAAATCCTGGGCGAGCCAGAGCACTTGAAGCTGGCCAGGTGAGTCCAGCTCCGCCCTCGGTCGAGACAAATCGCACACAGCCAGCCTTTCCCCCAACGCCCCAAGACGTGCCCATTGGCGTCAGGGCAGAGGATGAGCTGGGTCCCTGGTGGTCGGGGCTTCTTGGCCACGACCTTAGAAACATCACGAAACTTGGGCCTACCAGCAACCTCGAGCATGGCGCCTGTGAAGCGGCCAATAACCTGCAGGCGCTGCCTTTGCTCAACAAACTGGTCGCGGAGGGCCACTGGAATGGGAATGTCACTGGCTGCTCTCTTGGCAGCTTGATCCGCAACTCGGTTCCCTTTCCAAGCCCAGAGCGACACACCCATGGAGAGGGCCTTGGGCCAGGTCTTATGGGCGGGGACATGGAAAACTCGAGACGAATCGCCACGGCCCCGCCGCCTGAAGTCAATTTCTTCCCAAAACTCCGCAAAGGGCAGGTTAGAGGCATCAGCTTCCGCCCCTCGGTCCCAGGTCAAGACAGCGGACTGACAGTCACAGCCAAGCTCAACATCGCCTGGGCCCGAGAGGCGGAGAGCCATGAGGATGGCGAACACCTCGGCGCCATACATTGAGTGCGACGCGTGCGGAAGGGGGGGCCGCGGGCCGAGCCGAGAACATTCCCACCTCCGTCCAGCATCGCAACCGCCCAGGCAGCGACCGTGAAGAGAGGGAGGTCGGGAAAAAGAGCAGAGCCATCGGAGCACACGCGGCCTTGCAACGCGTTTCGCTGACTTTTGTAGAATATTGTACTGCGAATGTAAACCGACGCCGTGCCTCTATACAGGGGGCCTCCTTCTGCGCATAAGGCTGTGCATAAGGCTGCGTGTTGTTTGTCACTTAACATAGGTTGTGCGCTCTGGTGCGGACAACTGCCACTGCTGACAACCGCCGCGAGAGGGGATTCATCGTGGGAAAAAAAAAGCACGCGGCCTTGCAATTCG